GACTCAAGCCTTCAAGTTTAGGTCTGCTTCTTTTTGTAAACTTTATGTGCCTTTGTGGTTTACTTTTGGGGCATGAAAAGCTGGTTCCTCTAAGCTTCTAGTTCTCTCTTTTGATTTTATATTGGTGTGGCCAGACTGCTTTTGTCTTCAGGAGTTCCCACAGAGGCCCAAGTCAGATGAGGATCAGATGCTCTTAGGCTTTCTCCTAAGGTCTGGATCCCTCCCGATAGATTTTGGCCTCTGGAATTTGGGGGTTGGACTGGCCTGGGAGCCAGGCCCATGAGAGATGCTGGTCTAGCGCAGCTGGTGGTCATTCTACCCAGAGATGCAAAGGAAGATGGTGGAGGGAAGTGGCCCCCAAGGGCTCCTGGGTACTGCACTGAGGGGTTGGGTTGGTCTGGATGCAAAGGACCAGGAAGAGGAAAGGTCAGCCCTGGCGTCCAGGAAAGAGGCTGGCCGGTTGTGCAGACCTAGGGAGGCAGAGGGAAGTGAGGGCGGGGCCAGGCCCAGAGTGCCCCTGGGGACCTGAGAAGGATCTGAGTTGCTCTAGATTCAAAGGATCAGAAGCAGTGGTGGTTCCCCGAGTGTCTGGGGCACCAAGACAAGGAATGGGACAGTACCCAGGCTAGGAGGAGAGAACGGCAGGGGAGATGGGAGGGTGAGTGAGGCTGGGGGAGTCAAGGCAAGGTGGGCATGATCAACTTACCTGGAGGGAGAGGTCTGCCAGTTGGAGAGAGGCCTGAGGGTAGTGCAGGTCTAGGGAAGCAGAGGAAGGTGAGGACCTCAACTACATCTTTATGGTTCCATTTGGCTCTCTTGTTTGCCTCATCTTTCCTCTCCCCACCTATGTAGGACCTGCCATTTGTTCCTTCAGAAGTGAGGCAGAGCCTTCAGCTCAAGCAGCAGCCATGCAATCTAATTCAAGGAGTTAGGACTGGGAGCTGAGAGTGAGGCAGTGTTGCCTGTTTGTCTGTAAGGGTGGGAAGGGGCTGGGAGCAGGAAGTAGTGTGATTTGAGGTGAAGAGCAGGGCTTTGGCAAGGCAAGGGACGGGAGCCTTTCTTTTCTTTCTCTTCCCCTCTCACCTTTCTAGTTCCCTATTCTCTCTAAGTACAAAGACACAAGGTAAAGTTTGACCTTCATGTTTCCTTCCAGCGCTCCCAGCCTCTCATTCCAGCCAGGTCCCTCTCTTTCTTTATCTTAGAACAGCTCTAAAGTTCCTCAAGGAATCCCTGTCCTAAAAACAGATACATTCTTTTTTAGTTGTTTTTTTTTTTTCTAAGATTTTTCGCTTGCCAGGATCAATGGCAACAAAAATCAAGAATTAGATGGTTGACAGGTACGAAGGTTAAATTACCACACAGTGCTGCTCACCTGTTCAATCCTGAACTTTATTTCATCTGTGGTAGGAAGCCATTATTTACCCTAAAGCTCTCAGTACTGAGGCACCTCTTCCTTTCCAGTGTGCATAAACTTGGTGGACAATTCCTGTGAGTGACAAGCAAGCAGTTCTACTCAACAGTCACCCCCACTGGAGGCTGAGGAAGGCTGCTGGGTGGGAACTGGTCGGGTGGCTCCCATCACCCATTCCTCTCTTTCAGTTATTTTCTACACAGTATTTCATACTTGAGCCCAGTGAGGATTGGGCTCCTTCATTATCATCCCTTACACCTTCCTCCTATTTCTGGACCCTTATCAAGAAGGTTGAGGGTATATCTAGATGGGCAGAGGTAAGGCTGGGAATAAGAGGAGGATGAGGACAGAAGAACAGCCTGGCAATCCAAACAGGATGTAAGTGGGGGCTGCCAGTCTGCACAAGGACACACAGAGCCACAGGCACCTACAGAAGCTGTGGCCTCTCTAAGAATGTGAAGTGAAAGGAAGAAAATCAGCAACCCACAGATGATGACTCTAGGCAGGGTCTGGGTTAAAAATAGAACGTTTCAGTTTTAGTCTGACGTTTACAAGTTAATCCACTGAGGTTTCCACTTTTTTTTTAAAGCAGGGTCTCACTATGACACTGGCTGGCTTGGAAGTCATTGAGATCAGCCTCCCCCTGTCTCCTGGATGCTGGGATTAAAGGCATGCACTACCATGCTCAACTTAGCCATTGAGTTTTTAGGTAAAAAGACTGCTAATCGATTTAAAATATAAATAAAGAAAAGGTTGTTAGGAAGGCTGAATATAACCTGTCTTTTTGTATGTTGGGCATACTGACATATGAGCTCTAAGTTAATAGGACAAATTAAAGTTTCTGGTTGTGAAATTGTTTGACCTTTCCTTTCTTTATGGATTTATTGTTGTTTGTTTTGCAGGGGTACTTTTGATACTTTTCACTAAGTAGCCCAGGCTATCCTCAAACTTGTGATTCAGCCTCCTAAGTGCTGGGGCTGTAGGTATGTACCACTCTTGGAGGTGAATTCTTATCATTCTCTAAAAAATTTAGTCTTCCCAGAAATATTGCTTAATACCCACATACACTACATAAAACTTACCTGTTCAGCAAAAAATGAGACTATAGTAAATATAATCAACGTTGCTAGGACACAATGGGTCCAAAACTTCAGTTTGTCTCGATATGCCCTCCTGTTCAGAGACAGAAGAGTCATTTAATACTGATTGAACAAAGTGTTGTGAATATTGTAAAGCAACCCCCCCAACACTGTCCACAGGCAGTGCTGAAATAATCTAGCACATACTTTTAACCTGAGTTCAGATTTGTTATTATATCATAATAAATACTGTATTTCAATGTTATATAGACTTCAAAAGAAAAACTCTTGTAAACCTTACAACATTTATTTTTATTTGGTCATTCATATTCATTTATTCCCTCAGTTACTCAAGAAAAAAATTTCCTGTGGATACAGAGGGGTAAACAAAATTAAGTCCCTGCTTCAAAGTGTTTAGAAACTTGGAGAGTCATTGACATGCCATCACACCAGATGGTCAGAAATGTACATTATCAAAGTTTTATAGGAAAAAAATCTGAGAATAGCGGGGGCAGCTCAACCAATATGGTCACATTTTCTTTAGCCTTGAAAGACAAGAAAAGTGCTGGTGTGGTGGTGGACACCTTTGATCCCAGCACTCGGAAGCTAGAGACAAGTGGATGTCTGTGAGTTAGAAAGGGAGGGAGGGAGGGAGGGAGGAGAAAAGAATCTGTTTTAAAAGGAGAAATGAGGGCTGGAGAGGTGGCTCAGCGGTTAAGAGGACCTGAGTTATGTTCCCAACACCTAACAACCATCCATAACTCCAATTCCAGGGGATCCAATAACATCTTCTGTCTTCTTCAGTCATTGTACATATGTGGTGCACTTACACACATGCTGGCAAAACACTCACACATAATACAAAAATAAATAAATAGGGAAAACAAGCAGTGGCAGACTAGCACAGTGCCCAGAGTCCTGCAGAACGGATGACCTGAGCCTGGAGGGCCCTGGAAATAGCTGAGCCATGGAAGGGCAATAGGCAGGAACTGACGCTGCTCTGGAAATGGAGTTTGGGTTTAAAACTCTAGTGGGAGAGTGGCTGAAGTAGTGGGGGTTGGGGTTGTGTCATACAATAGGTGAAGATGGGGGCCATGTGAAGGACAGACAGACAAGTAAAGCACACAGTCCAGTTTTAGTTGAGGCATGAGAAAGAATGGCTGTCTTAGGGCAGGGAGAAGCCAAAGAAGTAATGTGGAAGATACTCTGAGGGAACATCATAGGGGCTGGAGGTGACAGGACGCTGGGGGTGAACAGAAAGAGGACAATGTAGTTCTCTCACCTGTGACCTGGAAATAATGAACTGTTAAGAATATTCAGTAAAAATGATGAACATATGGTTTAAAAGATAAACTAACAACTGCTAAATTCAGCTATTTTGAGCCCCAGATTCTCACTACTCTTTGGGAGTAGATGTCTCTCTAACTTTACTCTCTCAATAGGATACTTGCCACATCCATGTACATGGCTGCTCTATTCACAATAGCTAAGAAACGGAACCAGCCTAGATGTCCATCACAGGATGAAGGGATAGAGAATGTGCTACACATACACAACAGATTTAATTAAGCTGTAAAGAGAAATGAAATGACATTTTCAGGAAAATGGATGCAACTGGAATCTTCAGGTTAAGCAAAATGAGCCTGACTCAAAAAGACAAATACTAGGGGCTGGAGAGACGGTTCACTAGTTAAGAGTACTTACTGCTCTTCGAGAGGATTCAGGTTTGGTTCCCAGCACCCATATGGCAGCTAATTCCTGTCCTTAATTCCAATTCCAGGGGATCCAACACCCTCTTCTGGCCTCCATGAGCACCAGGCACACACATGGTGTACTCACATACATGACAAAACACTCATATACATGAAAAAAAATCTAAACAAAAGACAAATACTGCAATATTTTCTCATATATGGATCCTAGATTTTAATCTGTATATATTTGTGTATGTATATAGGTTATGAAACTAGACAGCAACCATCAGGGAAAGAAGAGATCCTGAGAGAGGGCAATGGGAAACGTGACATGAATTAAGGGACGAGGTGCTATTAAGGGGAAAGATGGGGGCCAGCAGAAGAAGGCAGGGGAGGAGAGTGGGGAAGGGGTGATAAGCACAACATAGGTGTGAAATTACCATAACAAAATGTTATTTGGGATGCTTGAA